TCATCTCTTCCTACCTGTAGCATCCCTTCCCGACCTCTCCATTCGATTCCCCAAGTTCGTAGCTTTCTCCCAATACCAAATTTGTCCCAAATGGTTCAGATTTGACCAAGTGGTGGGTGTGAGAATTGTGAAATTGGCCCATGTGCAGAATTAGACGTCCCAGAAAGTGTCTGTGAGAGTCCCCATGTCAATTGGATCTTCATACGCATCCTTTGTGATTTTTCTGAATTTTTCTGAGCACTCCAGAGTGCATTTTGGTTGTTTGTTTACTTCAGTATGGCTTGTGATTACCATTTTGGGCCAAAAACCAGTTTCGTGATCTCCTGAAGTACGGATCTTGGCTCCACCACATGGGACTTTCAACACCACCACTCTCACATGCCTTTTGACATTGTGCAGAACCTTGCAGTAAGATGAGAAATTGTCACCACCATTGTTCCACAACAGCTGAGTCGATCTGGATGAAATTCAGGGAATCCATGTTTATGATTTTTCTCTATTTTTGAGCCCTCTTGGTGGCCAGTAGCGCCAAGCATAGTTTTTGGGCTGGACCAATTCAGTACCAGTGTGTTATGCACAATTGTACTCTGTTATAAAATGAAATAAAATGTTTTTATTGTTAGAATGGGCGGACTCGGACGACTCCGGAATGGAATCGGAGACTTAGCGTGGAAGGACCTCGGCCTCAGCGACTCAGGCGGAGCGCTGTGCCATTGCTGGTTGTCCTAGGGGTCCCTAATTTCGGATCTAGCAGAGGGAAAGTCTCTTGGGGGGAATTCATGTCGATTTCGGACTGAAAACAAGACGAGTATATGTACAAGTGCCGATATATATAAGGAAGGGGCAAAAGCACAAGGAGAACAAAGGGTGACCGAATCGGAACGAAGACGTCCGAACGGGAACAAAGGGTAGAGGGAGTGGAGCGGTACTGAAGGTCATAGGGCAAGACCTGTGATACGTCTGAAAGGAGGTAGAGAGGGCGAGGCCCAGAGGGGCAGGAGGATGAGGGGAAGTGGGGGTGATGACTAACTGGCTAGAATAGAAAGAAGCAGTAGTCCAAATAGGGATGAGGGGAAATTGCGAGAAATACATTACAAACGGCAAGAGTGCCGGAGGCGGTCCGCGAAGCTCAGGGGTTGCGGAGCTTACGGAGGTTACGGAGGCGGGGTTGGAAGTCCGAGGAATATTGGCAACGGTGTTTACGTAGTATGAGGTCACCAATGCAATGGACTAAGACCGAGGTGGAGTCAAAGTCCGAGGTAGGGACTATGACAGAGGCTCGGAGTAAGGTACGAGCGGTGTCCGAGTGCGAAGTACGGAACAGCGGTGGAAGGTCGTAACTTGGCGGAAGGGTGGCGGAGGAGTAACGGAGGGAGGAGAGAGGGGACAGGTAAGGGGAGAAGGAGTGGCGGAAAGGAGAGTAGTCAGGTCCAAAGGTGAGGATCGGAGCGGATGGGGGAAGCGTAGGGGGATGATGGGAGGGTGGAGGTTTGTGAAGGGGGAGCGGGGTAGTAAGAAGGGTGGCGAGTGGGGCGATGTTCGGTCCGAGATGAGTATCGGAGTGGACGGAGATCGGGTCGGAGAGGTAAGGGGAGGGGTGTGTTGCCAAGACCGAAAGTGAGTATCGGAACGGCAACGGTAAGTTATGACTCCGGAGGTGAAGAGGGTGGAGGTCCGGAAGTCAGGTCAGGGTCGGGTATGCATGGATATGACAGCAACCTAGTGCGCGCGCGTGCAGCATACACCCTCAGGATCCCCCACGGGGACACCCAGGTGACTTCGGCTGTATGCGGGGTGACGTGGCGGACCTCATGTGACCCAAGCTGCATGTATATAAACACACCTGGGGTGGGAACCGAAGAAGTAACCTTCTTCTCAACATTCCCACTTCAGGTAAGTAGCATAGTTCTCCTTTTAATAATAACTCAACATTCCCACTTCAGTCTAAGTGGCCAGGGATCGCCATCCCACATCGGGGCTGTGTCAGGAACGTGCCAGAAGCGTATCTGGGTGACCCGTGAGGTGTGCGAAGTCGTCCGGGCTCGTAAGGTCGGAGGGGCGGGACTTTAGCTTCAGCGACTCAGGTGGAGCGCTGCGCTTCGTTCTTACATTGGTGTCCCAATTTCAGACAGAAGCCTTACGATGAGGATAACAGTTTAGAGGGGGAATCCAAGTCGATATACGAACTAAGGTACATCCGGTGTAACCTACATGTGTTATAAACACAAGTAACTAAATGAGACCGGCCCGGAAGGAGTGGCGGATCAAGCATGATATTAATGAATGAAGAAAGGAACAAATAATCAATATCGGCAAACTTGGTCAACAAAAGGCAAGCAAGGAACAATAGGAGGAACAATAGTCTGCAAGCGGACAAAAGAGAAAAGGCCATCCGGCTGTCTAGCAAGCCATCTGGCTGGGGGTGGACAACAATGGAGCAGGCAACCTAGGTTGGTAGGTACACGTGCGAGGGAGGAAGTGTGGATGAGGGTGATGGGTGGACAGATGGGTGGACGGATGATGATGATAGCGGGAGGGACGGACCAAGTGGCACTAGGGCACATAGAGGGAAGTGACGGATATGTTGGGTCATGACAGGCTGCCAGTACACACGCCTGATCCACCCCCCGTGAGGTCCTCAGCACCGGACACTATGCCCGGACCGCCTCGACCCCGGACGCGACCCTGACACTTCCAGACGAGCACACAACACCTATGCTCCTGACCCTGGACCTCTGCTCTGGAATCCCATTCGCGTCTCCATCTCCAGAACTTCTGGTCTTAGCTCCGACCTTGGACTTTGACCCCACCTCCACTTATACCCATTGTATTGGTTAGCTCATTCCATTTAATTACGTTTGCCAATATTCTGGAGTTTAACTTCCGAGTTTGGACTTTCCAGACTTACCTTGGACCTTGCAACTATTGCATTGTCCCATTTAATTCCGCTATACTCCCTCATTCTTATTTGGGCTGCTGTTTCCTTTCTATTCAGTCAGCTGGCCATTCCCACTCCCATCCTCCTTCCTTCCTCTTTGGGCCTTGGCCCTTCACTCCTCCTTTGGGAAACACCATTGAGTCAAACCCTTGACCCTCGGTGTTGTTCCTCCTTCCAGCTCCCTTTGTCTGCTTTTGGAGTACCCTTGCTCCTTTTGATTCCGGACCCCTCCTTATATACAATGTACACAGTAACTTGTAACCTCAGTCTGAAATCGACTTGATTTCCCCCCAAGAGACTTCCCCTCTGCTAGATCCGAAATTAGGGACCCCCAGGACAACCAGCAATGGCACAGCACTCTGCATGAGTCGCTGAGGCCAACGTCCTTCCATGCTAAGTCTCTGATTCCACTCCGGAGTTGTCCAAATCCGCTCGATCTAACAGAGAGAGAGAAAGAAGAAAGGAGGAAAGGGGAAAAGGAGAAAAGGAGAAAGGTGTGGAGCAGGGTGCAGCGGAGCAGGGTCAGGTGGGGCATGCCCTGACAGAAATTCACTTTGACTCAACACTCATATTTCACATACAAGCTGGAAGCACTGGGAGTGTTGGAAGCTCTGACCAAATGGTTGGACGAGCTCTCAGGAGGGCACAAATTTACGATTGTGACCGATCATAAAGTGCTTACTTACTTTAAGAGTAAGCAGCACACATCTGGCTGCCACATACGGTGGCAGGACTTCTTTTATGGTTTTGATTGTGACAGTCAAAGGCCATAAAAACAAAGTGGCTGATGCCCTCAGCTGCCATTATGAGTCCTCATCAGATGAGGGAGGACTTACACTACGATGACTTCATCTCTGCGGATATCTGCATTGACAAATCTGGTGATGACCTACCCATTAGCTGTGTCATATCCATCCCCGGCCATCGACTTCCGGTCTCTCCGATCCCTCCGTTCTAACTCCGCTCCTCCCTCACCAACCTCGGAGCCCCCGTATTCCACAAACCTCTCGGTACCCCTTGATGGTCACCACCCCCTCATTTCAATTTATTACCTACGCCTCCCTAAGTATGGAGCCCCGAAGACTTCCGGACAGCTCCGACGTCCGCTAGCGCACTCCCGCCTCCGCTGGGCAATACACTCGCCTGCCCTGCAGAGCCCACCTTCAGGCCTATCCCTCCTTTCCGTTTCTGGGTTATCGCCTGCCTTTCCGCTAACCCCGTGAACCGACTCGTCGGTAATATTCAGTCGGCTAATGGTTAAACCCCGTTAGCTCTGCTCCGTCGGCTCCGCCAATTGCGGAACCGTCCCCGCTGTAACCATATATATATCCCACTTGTACATAGGTTACGCCCCAGTAGAAAAATCAACTAGAGTTACCCCCCTAGGTTCTAATTGCCAGTCAGTAAGTTAGGGCACGGACGTGTCACTAGGCACAGCGCTCTTGGCAGAAGTCGCTGAGGCCGAAGCCCTCCGTTACGGAGACATTCCTTCATCTCGAGTCTGGTCTCTGACAAGCTGGGTAGAAGAGGCAGAGGAAATGTTTCACTTCCACCACCTCAACGTTAAGACAATTTCACTTGCTGTTGCAAACCTGAATGCAGTAGTTGATTGCAACACTGAGGCCATGATCATGGAAGATGATGACACCCGTTTAGGGAGGAGCAAGCTCATGCTTGCTGAGGTAGTAACTCCTGAGGAGAACCTGAGGAGTATAGTTGAGGAAGGGGGTTTCTTCAATGCAGTGAAACCAGGTATGCCAAGCATGCAACTTGGCTTGGGGTCCTTGAAAATCCTGCCTGATTCCCAAAATTTAGGGTCATTGGGGGCCTTATCTACAGATTGAACAACTTGGGCAGGCCCCATCTGGTTCTCCTGGACATTGTTCAACAAGGGGAGAAGGAGACTGGAATTGCCATACAACACACCGACAAAATCCTAGGTCACTTGAGATTTCATAAGACAATTGATTACATACATCACTACTACTGGTGGTCAACAATGGTCTGCAACATGGGGAAATTTGTCTCCTGATGTGGAACATGTCAAGCCACCAAGTGACAAACTCAGCATAAGCCAGGGCTATTGCACCAGCTACCTATTCCAGAGACCCCTTGGTCTTCCATATCAATGGACTTTGTTGGTCCATTCCCCATGAGTATGGGGTTGTCAGGGACGCATCCGGGGTGGAGGGGGCCCGGATGTAGCGCCCGGCAGAGGGACCCTCTTGGGGAGCAAAGCGGGCACGTGTACTGACAGGCCCAATCTGGGACTGTAGTCCCTGGTGTCATATCCATCCCCGGCCATTGACTTCCGGTCCCTCCAATCCCTCCGTTCTAAATCCGCTCCTCCCTCACCAACCTCGGAGCCCCCATATTCCGCAAACCTCTCGGTACCCCTCGATGGTCACCACCCCCTCATTTCAATTTATTACCTACGCCTCCCTAAGTACGGAGCCCTGAAGACTTCCGGACAGCTCTGACGTCCACTAGCACACCCCCGCCTCCGCTGGGCAATACACTCACCTGCCCTGCAGAGCCCACCTTCGGGCCTATCCCTCCTTTCCGTTTCTGGGTTAACGCCTGCCTTTCCGCTAACCCCGCAAACCGACTTGTCGGTAATATTCAGTTGGCTAATGTTTAAACCCCGTTAGCTCCGCTCCGTTTGGCTCCGCCAATTGCGGAACCATCTCCGCTGTAACCATATATATATCCCACTTGTACATAGGTTACGCCCCAGTAGTAAAATCAACTAGAGTTACCCCCCCTACGTTCTAATTGCCAGTCAGTAAGTTAGGGCACAGACGTGTCACTAGGCACAGCGCTCTTGGCAGAAGTCGCTGAGGCCAAAGCCCTCCATTACGGAGACATTCCTTCGTCTCGAGTCTGGTCTCTGACACCTGGCCACTTAGACTGAAGTGGAAAACGTGAATTGTTATTAAAAGGAAGAACTACACTACTTACCTGAAGTGGAAAACATGAGAAGAAGGTTACTTCTTCAGTTCCCACTTCAGGTACATGCAGCTTGGGTCACATGACGAGTGCCACATCATCTACGGGGAGAGCCACAGCCATCCGGGTATCCCTGCAGGGGGTCCTGAGGGCATCCACTGCAGGCGCGCATGCTATGCATAGCGGGAAGTCGTCCAGGGTGTCCGAGCCAGATGGGTCAACAGTACAATGATACAAGGGAAGGTGGTCCATGTCAATAGAGAGAATAAACAGAAAGGGAGAATGAAATAAAGGAGAGAGAGGAAAGAGGGAAAAGGGAGGAAAGGGAAGAGGGGGAAGAGGGAGGATGGAGGATGGAGGAAGGATGGGTAGTGGGGAGCAGGTGAGGTGGGCCCGGGTGGGCCTGGGTGGAACCAGGTCAGGTGGGTGTTGTCATATCCATACAATCCCGACCTCCGCTCCGGGCTCCCGGAACTCCGAACCTGACTTCCGGAGTCTTACTTCCCTTCCGTCACCTCCTCCTTGCCGACTCCCAAGAGGTTATCCCACCTCCGGCTCTGACACCACCTTCGGTCCGACTCTGGGAACATTCCGGGTCTGACCCCAACCTTGACACCTTCCAGATGAGTACGCAAAACCTATGCTCCCAACTCCGGACCTCCACTCCGGAATCCCGTTCGCGTCTCCGTCTCCGGAACCTCCAGTCTTAGCTCCGACCTCAGACTTTGACCCCACCTCCGCTTATACCCATTGTATTGGTTAGCTCATTCCATTTAATTACGTTCACCAATATTCCAGAGTTTAACTTCCGAATTCGGACTTTCCGGACTTACCTCGGACCTTGCAACTATTGCATTGTCCTATTCAATCCTGCTATTCTCCCTCATTCCTATTTGGGCTGCTGCTTCCTTTCTATTCAGTCAGCTAGCCATTCCCCACTCCCAACCTCCTTCCTTCCTCCTTGGGCCTTGGCCCTTCATTCCTCCTTTGAGAAACACCATTGAGTCAAACCCTTGACCCTCGGTGTTGTTCCTCTTTCCATCTCCCTTTGTCTCCTTTCGTCCTACCCTTGTTCCTTTTGATTCCGGACCCCTCCTTATATACAATGTACCTAGTAACTTGTAACCTCAGTCCGAAATCGACATGAATTCCCCCCAAGAGACTTTCCCTCTGCTAGATCCGAAATTAGGGACCCCTAGGACAACCAGCAATGGCACAGCGCTCCACCTGAGTTGCTGAGGCCAAGGTCCTTCCACGCCAAGTCTCCAATTCCACTCCGGAGTCGTCTGAATCCACACGGTTCTAACAGGTGTGCCCTGACAGGGGTATAACTACTTATGGGTAGTCATGTGTCATCTGACATCACAGGTCCATTTGGTACCCATGAAAATGACAGTCAATGTGCTTGAACTCGCATATGACTTCCTAAAGAATGTGTGGTCTGCCTTCATGGACTATGTCATATCCATACAACTCCGGACCTCCACTCCTGATTCTGGACTTCCATCTCCTCCTCCAGAACTCCACATCCTCCTTCTCCTCTTTCCCCTGTTGGTTGTTGAGAGCCCACTCTACCTCTGGCTCCAACACAACATCCAACACTACCTCCGGTCCAACTCTGGTTTACTCCGGGTCCGATCCCAACCTTGTACCTTCCAGACCAGAGCTTGTGATGCTCCACACCTCCGGCTCCAGACTCCTGTGCCAGAACCCCATCACACCTCCACCTCTGAAACTCCAGTCACATCTCTGCCCCCAGACTTTGACTTCCGACTCCGGACCTCCGGAACTTACTCCGGACCCTGCAGTCTCTACTGTATGGTGTCATTTAATCCTCTTGTTGCTTCTTCCTTAGTTAGATGGCTGGTTCCTTTCCATATTAGTCAGCTGTCATTCCCCACAACTGTCAAAACCTGTGAAACAGGATCCTAATGCTGACAGGGCTCAGCTAGAGGGATTCCGAGAGCTCCGGTAGTGAACTGAAGCTTCTCCAGGAAGCCCAGGTCTGCTGGGTGTGAAGGATGTGGCCTCAGTGACTTGGGAAGGAGCGCCGTGCCTCCGTTATGTCTTCATTAGTCCTTAATTTCAAATGTCTGAGGTATCTTGTAAGAGGGGGAGATGAGTCACTCACAGGGGGACTTGGGGTAAGTTTTAGTTGAGATTAGAACTAGAGTACAATGGGTTCTAATCTACTGGTATAATAGAGAGAGGAGGAGGACTTTAGTCAAAGTCCGAGTGATACTGACAGGTACTGAAAGGTGCCAAAAGATACCGAAAAATTCTGAATGATATCTTTAATGGGGAACCGAGGTGTTGGGTTGAGGAAGGTGGAGTAGAAGGCTGGAGGATAAATGGGAACAAGAAATGGGTTAGGGGAAGTTAGCTGACTGAATGGAAAGAAGACATCAGTCATACTATAAGTGAAGGATGACGAGAGTGGGGTCACCAGGGATGCGGGTAGCTCCAAAGCCAGAGGAGGTAGAGGATGTGTAGTTCTGGAGGAGGAGATGGAGGTCCAGAAACAGGAGTGGAGGTCTGGAGTTGTATGAATATGACATAGAGGACCCATATGAGGGACCTCAATACTCACCCAACTCAGAAGGTGAGGAAATCAATGTCAGTGTCAGAGACCAGATTGAGATGAAGAATTGTCTCTGTGATGGAGGGCTTCAGCCTCAGCGACTCAAGCCAGGAGCGCTGTGCCCAGTTACACATCCGTGCCCTAATTTACTTATTGGCAACGAGAAATCAACTCTAGGCGATTTTATTACTGAGGTGTAACCTATGTACAAGTTGAGTATATGTCACGACCCGACATATCCGTCACTTCCCTCTACACATCCTAGTGCCACTTGGTCTGTCCGTCCCACTATCATCATCATCCGTCCACCCATCCATCCACCCATCACCCTCATCTGCACTTCCTCCCTCGTGCGTGTGCCTACCAACCTAGGTTCCCCGCTTCATTGTTGTCCGCCCCCAGCCGGACGGCTTGCTAGACGGCCGGATGGTTCTTTCTCTTTTGTCCACTTGCGGACTATTGTTCTTCCTTTTGTTTCTTGCTTTCCTTTTGTTGACCAAGTTTGCTGATATTAATTATTTGTTTCTTTCTTCATTCATTAATATCGCGCTTGATCCGCCACTCCTTCCGGGCCGGTCTCATTTAGTTACTTGTGTTTATAACGTGTGTAGGTTACACCGGATGTACCTTAGTTCGTATATCGACTTGGATTCCCCCTCTAACTCTTATCCTCATCGTAAGGCTTCTGTCTGAAATTGGGACACCAACATAAGAACGAAGCGCAGCGCTCCACCCGAGTCGCTGAAGCTAAAAGTCCCACCCCTCCGACCTTACGAGCCCGGACGACCTCGCACACTTTGCGGGTCACTGTCAGGGGATGACTCCCGGGTCCCCATGACCCTCCCCTATGGTCCACAGCCTCTGGTCTGGCCAGCCCTATCCAGGGCACAATCCTACTGTGGGTAAGAAGATGGAAGGGCAAGTATATACACTTGCCTACTGTGGGTAAGAAGATGAGAAGGAAGCTAACTTCTCATCTTCCCACAGTGGCCACAATATCAGCAAAACTTCCGGGGATACCCGGAAGTCACATGAAGGAGTAGAACCGGGCCCAGAGCATGTGGCGCGCAGAGCATGCACGCATGCGGGAAGCGCAGTGGGTGGAAGCGGGTCCGGGCTAGTCAGGGTGTGTGCCCTGACAGTCACCCGGATACGCATCTGGCACGTTCCTGACAGTATATACAAACTCAAATCACTCTTACGTTCTTTCCTTGCTCTATCATTGTTTCACTGAACTATGTCTAGAGCTTATCAAACCCGTTCACAGACGCGCACCGAACCTGGTTCTTCTAGGCTTCCAGGTCTCGGGATGCTTGAAGAACTTTTGCGCAGACATGACCTAGACCCTTCTGAACGTCCGCCATTCCAAAGCTTTATGGCTGACCGTGACGACCCTACTTCCTCCTCCACTCCTGCACCCTCCTGTCGATTCCATTGTTCCATATTCCAAGACCATGACGAGGCGGCTGCTGTCGAGAGAGATGTCGACCCAGACAGCCAAGCTGATGACTATGACCCCAAAGCTTCTCGTAACCCTACTCCACATCCTGATCCCGCTAATCCCCTAGACCCGCCAGACACCCCACCCAACCGTGGTAACGGTGGTGGTGACGGTGATGGTGGTGGTGATGGTGATGACGGTGTTGACGATCCGCCTGAGGATCAGCTGCCAGATGACCCGGGTAGCCGTGTGTTGGCCCAGTTGACGGACGCTATTGCCGCCC